TCAAGTTTATTCCTAAGCTACTCTGCAAGAGCACAGATGTGCAGTTGTAGTATGTAGAGGTCGAACCACAGAGACGAGAGATCACTCAATAAACCTTATAGAGATTGAATTACGCTAAGCAGAAATATTGTAAATAAATAGCAATGCAACAGAATTAGACTAAGCAGCAATAAAAAAACGGTTTGTAAGATTCAGATGGATGGAGATTAGGCTTAGGGCGTTTCTCAGGAAATCAATGAATGCAGATCAATCGATTAATCAGGGTTCAGGTTTAAGCACGGTTCTTGAACTCGAATCACAAAATTATAATTAATCAACTTCCGTTGTGAGAATTATCTAAGTTAAAATCCTAAAATTCCAAATTCATTTGCAAACCCTAAAGATTTAAACCAGCTTTAATTCACAAGTTCGATATGTTCACAAAGTATCTAAACCAAATTCCTTTGCGAATAGCTACTTTGCTCACCCTAGGTTCTTTCCAGTTATTCAATTACACTTCCGTGTCAATCAATTAACCTAAGATCTAAGTTCTAAGTGGTCAGTCCAGAATTAGCTTTAAGAACAACCTATGGTGAAGAACTAAATAGATTATGAACCCTAACTAAATCAATTAATTAAACATCCAGAGAAAACCTTTATGAGAACCCTAAACCTAACAAACAAACTACTCAGACATGGAGCTTGAAGCAATAAACATGATTGAATAGATTGCAGTAAACAGTAAATAGATTAATAAACAGGGATTCGAAATCTTCTCTCTCCGGAACAGAGTTTCAGACTTGTCTCCCCAAAAGCTCTCAAAAAAAAAAAGTTCTCTCTCTAAGAAAATCTAAGTATCGATATAAGGTGGCTAAAAACCCTATTTATAACTTAAAAACACGTTTTGGGCTTCCTTGTAATTATTGGAGAACTTCTGGGCCCAACTCCTTCTTTAAATAGGAAACAAAATCGCATTTTCCTTATTTCTCTAACAAGTGTCGAGCGTCACTCTCCATGGTGTCGAGCGTCACTAAAGCACAAAATCCATTCTTGACGAAATTGATCCTGATTAAGCTCCAAAGTGCTCCAAAGTGCTCCAAAGTCTCCAGTTAAGCTCCAAACGTACCTAGGACCTGAAAAGACTCCAAAAGACTCGAAATACACTAAAAAGACTCTATAAATAGGACTTATACCATGGTTAAAAACCATAAAAACCATGATATATCAACTCCCCCAGACTTAGCATTTGCTTGCCCTCAAGCAAACAGAACACCAAATAAGAGAAAGAAGTTTGAAAATGCAGAGACTCAACCTTTCATTGGAACATCGCTTTTGACCAGTTACCCTGCAACTCAACTACTGTTTCATCATTCCAAATCGAACCACCATGTACTTCTCCGTAGACATTCACAGCTTTACAGATTAAGTCCAAAATTCCCACAACATTGTCCATAACCCTCATCGCTGGATCTCACTGATGATTCAGATGCCAAGAACCTTCTAGACTTTTTCCCGTACTATACTCAAACAAATCAGCCATACACCCATTGGTACTTTTCTCTCCCCCAGACTTATTATTTTTTGCACACTCATCATATCTCTTTTTTTTATGGCATATACACGATAAAGTTAAATCTGCGAGTACTGATGGTGTTTGCCATCGAGTCCCCGAGTTGTCCTTTACCTTGTATCAAAGGGTTTCAGCGAATAATGGGGTCATAGAAAACTTTCCTACCCCTCACTGCCTTCCGTTGTGTGATCATTCCAACTTAGAAGTGAAATAATGGGATCATTGGAAACATTCCTAGCCCTTCACTCCTAAGCGAAAATCATCTCAATCTTTTTGTCCTTTTTTCTTTCTTTTTCTTCTTCTTAGCTCGTCACAAGGAGAGAAATACCAACATTAAATTTCGCACAGGCTTTCATTGATCAAGTACGAATGAGGAATCAAGCTCTAAGGCATTAGTCACATCAACGAGTTAAAAGTGAAGTTCAGAACTTAGCTCAGGTTAGTGGACTCTGTTGGAAACATGGACGCCTCTAGTCAGCTGGTCAGCCTTTGGATTTTTCATTAGTCGGATCTAGTCTGAATCTGCAGCAGTGGTCACTTAGGTGAAAGGTCAGCACAATAATTCCAGGAAAAGCATCATGATCTCCAACAGGTTTTGACTCAAAAACGTTTTGACACGACTGACTCCTAAGAAAAACAAACACAATGTCAGCAACTACCTCCCCCAAACTTGAATAATACTGTCCCCAGTGTAATCAAATCCGAAGTTGGTGAAACAAAAGAAAGGAAACAGAGAAACGCAGGAAAAACAGAGAACTTACCTGGCTGCAATGATGGTGTCGAGCGACACTGATGATGGTGTCGTGCGACACTTGTTCTTCTTCGTACCAAATTGCAGCAGACTAATCCGAATTTCTGGTTTGACTCCTGTTTCCTGATTTCCTAAATTTTTTTTTTTTTTTTTTCACAGAAGCAAGTGACAAGCGACACCGATGGTGGTGTCGCTCGACACTAACATCTGCTTCACCTAAAACACGAAAACGAAAAATGAAAATTAGCTGAAACAAAAGGACTTATGTACAGACTTACCAGTGGATTGCCTTCCACCAAGCGCTTGTTTTAAGTCATTAGCTTGATTATGGATAGACTAAGCATCTGGTGGATCAGACAGTGGCAAAGACTGCCTCTGTGAAAGTCGTCTCATCCATGGTGGTGTGTAAGCGTTGTGCGCATGAGGTCGTCCAAGGAATACAGGAATAGCAATAAGGTGAAATCTGTGTTTGGACCGCTTTAACCTATTCCCTGCAATATCATCAATCGAAAAACCAAGTGCCCTTTGCTTTAGTGGAGATGAATGAAGTGAGATGTTTGGAGCTTCCTGATCAACAATAGTCACTGGTTCTGTAGACGTTTTCGTCAACTCTGGTTGATCTCTCACCTTCTCAGCATCAAACACGTTCTGATCTCCAACTATCACTTCAGGTATTGCACTGACTTGGAATGTCTGACCATCTATAGTGGGATCCTTCAGCTTCTCCATTTTGAAAGTCATGATGGTATCTCCCAGGTGGAGATCAAGGTTACCATGCTTGACATCAATTACTGCTCCAGCTGTAGCTAAAAACGATCTTCCCAGGATAAGAGGATCTTTGGGTTCTTCTCCATATTCCAGAACCACGAAATCTGTAGGAATTATGCAATCACCAACTTTAATCGGAACATCCTCCAAGACACCTTTTGGGGTTCTTTTAGATCGATCTGCTAGGATCAAAGAGATCTTAGTTGACTTGAAGTCAGTCATCCCAAGGCTAAAAGCTACATAATATGGCATGAGGTTAACACTCGAACCAAGATCACACAGCGATCTCTTGAACCTCTCTGAGAAGATAGAGCAGTCCAAAACAAAGCTTCCTGGGTCTGAGAGCTTCTCTGGAATCTTATTCTGAATCACAGCACTGACCTGTTCAGAAATCATCATCACTCCTTCCTCATGACTCAGATTATTAGTCACCATCTTCTTCACATAGTGTCTGAGAGTAGGAGCAATTTTCACAGCATCAACCAAAGGAATCTCAATCACAAGCTTCTCCATCAAAGCCTTGCATCTGGCATCATCTATCTCCTGCTTGGACTTCCTATGACTTCTTGGGTAAGGAACCTTAGGTTTGTAAACCTTTTCCTCAGCAGATTTCGAACTTTGATTAATATCAGCTTTGCTCTGCAATTGGTGACGCGCGACACTGGTTGTGGTGTCGCTCGACACCGGCTCTGCAACTTCGAAATTTTCTTCAGATTCGTCCAACTCCACGATTTCATCCTCAGAAACACCCTTTTTCAGCACAGGAGTCAACTTTTTACCACTTCTTAACGAGATGGCACTGCAGTAATGCGTAGGATTGGTATCAGTCTTCCCAGGAAGGAATCCTTCTTGCCTTTTTACAGACTCTGCAGTCTGAGCAACCTGAGTATCAAGCTTCTTGACATGAGTGTTCAGAACTTCAATTTTTCCATTCAGATCCAGATACAGAGCATCAATCTTCCCATTGAAATCCACAGTCATCTTCTGCTGACCTTCCAAGATCTGTTCCAGCATAGACTTCACCTCATTATCTGGAGTTTGAGTAGGAGGAGAACCATAGTTCCTTGAAAACCTATTGTTGGAGTAGGATGTCTGGTACTGAGGTTTGGAGCTGTAACCATAAGAGTTATGATTACCTGTGAAGGTACTCCTCTGATTATTTCCATTGTAATTCGTGTTCCCTTGCTGAGTACCAAATCTCTGACCCTGAAATCCAGCTCCATTGATGAAGTTAACATCTTCTTCCACAAAAGCTTCATCTGGTCCGAAATTCTGAACTACTGCAGGGTATCTGACAGATTTCTTACCCACAAGAAGACTATGCACAGAGTCAAGCTTAGCCTTCACCTCAGCAATCTGCGATCCATCCATGTTTCCAGCCTGCTTCCTTCGCTGATAGTCTGCATTCTTGGTACTATTGCTAGATGCCAAGTTTTCGATGAGCTCAACAGCTTCGTCTGGGTATCTGGTGTTGAGGTTTCCATTGCTCGCTGCATCAAGAGCCATCTGATACCTCCAATCAATACCTCTGAAGAAGATACCTAACAGCTGCACATCGCTGAAGCCATGATGGGGACAGTCTCGCTGGTACGATTTGAATCGCACCCAGGAAGCTTTGAACGCTTCAGTTGGTTCCTGAGAGAAGGTCGAAATTTTCGTCCTCAACTCCTCAGACCTAGCATCATCGAAGAAGTTGTGCAGGAAAGCATTCCTGGTCTCTTCCCAAGTAGTGAGTGATCCTGGCTCCAACTGCTTCAACCAGTTAGCTGCTTCTCCAGCAAGAGAATAAGGAAACAACTTGCAGAGGAGGAAATCATTGGACACCCCATTGTACTTTATGCTGGTGACCAAGTCCTCAAACCTCTCGATGTGGTCCATCGGGTGCTCATGAGAGTGGCCATGGAAAGGATGTTGACCCACAAGAGTGTAGTACACAGGCTTCAGCTAAAAATCGTTTCTTTGAAACGCAGGGGCACGAATCGCAGAACGATTTGCATAGAACTGCTCAGGCCTGTTGTAGTCCCCAAGCGTTCGTCCACGACCAGCTGCAGGTGCAGGATCCCTCACATTCCGATCCTCTGAAACGTTCCTCTGATTTGGAACGATCACAGCATTACCACGCGGTGCAGGTGGTGGATTCTGGTCAACAACATCCACTGGTAGAGGCGCTGGTGGAATGATGTTACCATCTCCATCAAGCCTTTGGCCTCTCGCATTGCACACATGACCCTCTCGGTCTCTCCAGATTCCATCATCATCACGAACAAGTCCATTGGCGTTTTCCATCATTGCCGGATCCTTTGCTTTCCTGTTCGTTCGCTCTAACTCAGCTAGCTCTTCGTTGCTCAAATTCACTAGCGGGATGTCCTTGTTGCTCCTGGTTCCACGAGTATGCATAAACCTGAAACACCAAAAACAAAGAGAGAAAACGAAATAAGTAAACTAGGTTATAAAAAGAAAGGTGTCGCGCGACACCAGCTCGACACTAGGTCGAAAAACTTAGTCGAAACTCAAAAACTAGGTTTAATGGCGAAATCAAGTCCCCGGCAACGGCGCCAAAACTTGATCTGCTCAAAGTTTAATCTCTAAGCTACTCTGCAAGAGCACAGATGTGCAGTTGTAGTATGTAGGGGTCGAACCACAGAGACGAGAGATCACTCAATAAACCTTATAGAGATCGAATTACGCTAAGCAGAAATATTGTAAATAAATAGCAATGCAACAGAATTAGACTAAGCAGCAATAAAAACGGTTTGTAAGATTCAGATGGATGGAGATTAGGCTTAGGGCGTTTCTCAGGAAATCAATGAATGCAGATCAATCGATTAATCAGGGTTCAGGTTTAAGCACGGTTCTTGAACTCGAATCACAAAATTATAATTAATCAACTTCCGTTGTGAGAATTATCTAAGTTAAAATCCTAGAATTCCAAATTCATTTGCAAATCCTAAAGATTTAAACCAGCTTAATTCCACAAGTTCGATATGTTCACAAAGTATCTAAACCAAATTCCTTTGCGAATAGCTACTTTGCTCACCCTAGGTTCTTTCCAGTTATTCAATTACACTTCCGTGTCAATCAATTAACCTAAGATCTAAGTTCTAAGTGGCCAGTCCAGAATTAGCTTTAAGAACAACCTATGGTGAAGAACTAAATAGATTATGAACCCTAACTAAATCAATTAATTAAACATCCAGAGAAAACCTTTATGAGAACCCTAAACCTAACAAACAAACTACTCAGACATGGAGCTTGAAGCAATAAACATGATTGAATAGATTGCAGTAAACAGTAAATAGATTAATAAACAGGGGTTCGAAATCTTCTCTCTCCGGAACAGAGTTTCAAACTTGTCTCCCCAAAAGCTCTCAAAAAAAAAGTTCTCTCTCTAAGAAAATCTAAGTATCGATACAAGGTGGCTAAAAACCCTATTTATAACTTAAAAACACGTTTTGGGCTTCCTTGTAATTATTGGAGAACTTCTGGGCCCAACTCCTTCTTTAAATAGGAAACAAAATCGCATTTTCCTTATTTCTCTAACAAGTGTCGAGCGTCACTCTCCATGGTGTCGAGCGTCACTAAAGCACAAAATCCATTCTTGACGAAATTGATCCTGATTAAGCTCCAAATTGCTCCAAAGTCTCCAGTTAAACTCCAAACGTACCTAGGACCTGAAAAAACTCCAAAAGACTCGAAATACACTAAAAAGACTCTATAAATAGGACTTATACCATGGTTACCGCGGAAAAAAAAATTCAACCTGGGGCTAC